TTAAAAACAACGTCGATAATTTTATTTCATAATATTAACTTATTCTTTATTTTATTTTTATATATATCATATACCTGTTTAATTAAATCATCTGTTTTCCACCATCTATCACAATTGATTCTCGGCTTCATTATAACATATGCTACTTCTTCTTCAAATTTTAAACGCTCATCAACTTCCGTAAAAAAATCACTAACATGTAAACTAAGTCCTGCTTTTTTTTTCGAAGTGGTTGATGTCTGACTGATTCCCAGTAAGCTTTTTTCCATCATTGGCATAAAAAATAGATTCATCATGTGTTATTAATATATGATGTTTCTCATTTACATCTAAAACTGGCTCTTCTAAAATTATTATATCATCATTTAATGGTTTTAGTATCCACTTTTCTAATTCTAAAATTTCATTTAAAAAATCTTGCCTATATTTAATCACATCAGGTCTTTTGTAACCATTATAATAAACATCCTTTCTTGCAATACGAAACTCCCATCCAAAATATTTTAACCAAGCACGTGCTGTATTATCAGAAATTTTTTTTTCTTTTCAATTCCTACACTTGGAAATACTTCCTGTTCAATATAAGTTTTAAATCTACTTACTGTTATATCACAACCAACGCTCCAAAGATATTCTGTAATCATTTGATGAATATCTTCATCACCCAATAGACTTTTTACTTTTTGATGTTTTCCACATATTGATACTGAAATCTGACAATAAATAATAAAGTTTTTAGTTCATTATCTAATTAACCGGGCTTGATTATCTTCTTTATTAATGCTAATTACAAGAGTTTTGCTTGTATCCATACGTTTAAGACCACTTAACATTAAATTAATATATTGTATTATAAGCTGTAATCGTGTTTTGACTTATAAGATTAAAGATTTATCAGCAATTAATTTCCTTATATCCTTTAATGCTAATTCAAACCCTTCTTGTTCTTGATCCTTTTCAAGTTTTTTAGATTATATGCAAGCTCCCTTGCAGATTGATGTGGTATTTATTAAGATGTGAAAAAAAGTATCAAGTTTAGAGATACCGGCTGTTGCAATTTTAGCAGCTGATTTTTTACACCTTTGTATTCTTTCAGAATTTCCAACATAAACTAACAGACGCTTATTTGTAAATGATGTTAGCACTTTTGCATTTTCAATTATAACATCAAAAGTAGTCTGCGAAATTTGTTTTAGATTTTCAAATTCATCATTATGCATATCATCATCAGAATCATAACAATCTGACAATTCATCATCATTGCTATTAATTACATTTTTTGCTTTTAAAGCTTTATTGTTTCGTGCAGCTTTAAGTTGAATTTTTCGTGTCTTTGGTGGTATTTTTTATAAGAAAATCTGCAAATGTTAGATTGTACTAAAACAAATTTTTCACATGCTAAAGATATGATTGATCTGATCTTTTTACCACTTAACCTTTTAAAAAATTCTTGATCACCTATTTTGGTTACAACCAGATTTTACCTTTTGCCATAACCAAATTCGTCAATTAATTAGCTGTGTAAACTTCAATTAATTTGAATTAATTTAGATAGATTTATATAGCGATAATAAAAAAACTTTCGGTCTTTACCTTTTTCGATCACATATATCACATCAAGCTTATATTATAGCATATAAAGATTGGGACTGCTGAAGAGGCTTATATGAACTCATCTTGTGACAATTAAAAGAGATTGAGCGTATTAATTCATTCTAAACAATATTATGCTGCAGCTATCCTGAGTTTTATCTTTTTTATAAATATTGGCCTGTATTATATTAGTACTAAACTGGCCAAAATCTGCTAGATTTATTCAAAATATAGTAAAATAGCCAATACAAAAATTTATATATATTATGCTACAGTAATTCAATTTGAAAAAACTCTCTGTTATATAAAAGAGTATTGTTCAAACTATAATTTTACAGAAAGATTTTTAAATATTATTAATTCAAATTTTTTTTCTATTCATTTGAAATCACATGATAAAAAGTAATGTCTTTAGACTATATGCATCATATAATAAAAAATTTGATGTTATTTAGAAGCTAAAAATTTGTAATTTAAAAAAAAATTATTTTAAAAAATTTAATGATTAATCTATGATAAACTTTTTAGAATTTAATTTTAACTATATTAATTATAATAAAATATTTTAAAATTACTGATAAAGAAAAACGTTTATTATTATAATTTTTATAATTTATTAAATAATTTTATGACTTTAATTAATGATAAAGTGATTCAATTAGTATGCAAACATATAAATTTTTAAAGAATTTTTAAAAAATTATTATAAGAAATTTTTAAAACTTAATTTTAAAATTAAATTATTTTAAAAACCTTTTTAAAAACTTAAAATCTTTGTTAATAAAGTTGATAAAATATATATTAAACTTTATTTTTATATTGTAATAAGATTACTAAAATTAATATTTAACATTTTATAAAAAATTAACACTTTTTTTTTAATTTCGCAAGCAAATCTGCCTGCTATACGGTCTAAGTGATAATGATTTGTTATGAAATTTATTATAATGATTTATTACAGATTTCATCAATTGAATTCTGTTTAACAATTCATTATAAAATTTATTATAATGATTTGTTATGATTTTTATTAAAGTAATTCTATTTAATGATTCATTACAATTTTTGTTAATGAATTCTGTTTAATGATTCATTATGATTTTTGTTAAATGAATTCTGTTTAACTATTCATTACAGTTTTCATTAACAAATCCAGCTAACAATTTATTTCAGGTTTTCATTAACAAATCTGTATAACAATTCATTATAGTTTTCATTAAACAAATTCTGTTTAATGATTCATTACAGATTTTATTAAACAAATTCCATTTAACGTTTTGTTTCAGTTTTATTAATGAATCTGTATAATGATTCATTACGGTTTTCATTAAACGAATTCTGTTTAATGATTCATTATAAATTTCATTGAACTATTCATTATGAAATTTGTAATAACGAATTATAATGAATTTCATTATAACAATTCGTTATACAAATTTCATTTTTAAACAAATTGTAATAAAATTCTTTACAATAAATCATAATAAATTTTGTTGAATGATTTATTACAAAATTTATAATAATGAATCGTAACGAATTTTATTATAATGATTCATTATATAAAATTTATTTAAACAATTTGTTATATGAATTTCATTTTTAAATGAATCGTAATAAATTTTATTAATGATTCATTACAAAATTTGTAATAACAAATTATAACAAATTTCTTTATAATAATTCGTTTATATAAATTTCGTTTAAACAAATCATAACGAATTTCGTTAAACGATTCATTATATGAATTTCATTTAAATGAATCATAACAAATTATAACAAAATTTGTTGAACAATTCATTATAAAATTCATAATAATGATTTGTTAAGAATTTCATTAATGAATCAGAATGAAATTTGGTAACTGAATTTCACATTTGAAGGCAATTTTTGTTATTTAAAAGCAAAACTTCATCAATTCGAAAATGAATTTCATTTTGAAAGTGAAATTTCGCTATTTCAAAACAAATTTCGTCATTTTATAGTAAAATATTGTATTTGATGACGATTTTCATTTCCATTAACTTTTTATTATTATTTCTTTACTATTAATCTTATGTATCATAGTAAAACATAAAACATATATATTTAACCTTTTTTAGGAAATCAGAATCATTCTTTCTTCTTTTTCTTTTCTTTTTCTTTTTTTTAGAAATGCTTTTTTCTCAGTTTTCACTAATATTTTTCTTTTTTTTATAGTAAATATTCTTTCTTTTAGATAAGATATAGTAAGTGGCTTTTTAGGACTTTTTCAGGGATATTTTTCAGTTTTTTACTTATTTTTTCACTAAAACTTCTTTCTTTTAGATAAGTTAAGTAGCTTTTCTATGGTGAGTTTCAGATTTTTACTAATTTTTTTTTTGTTAATAGTAGTAGACTTTTTTGCTATTAGTTAAGATAAGTCTACAAATCAGAATGGTGATTTTTCAGATTTTTACTAACTTTTTTTCTTTTTTTATTAGGAGTGGATTTTTCTAACTTATTAACTAAAGTATACTACAAATCAGAACTTTTTATTGTTATTTTTTTGGATTTTTACTATTTTTTTTTTCTTTTTTAATAGAAGTGGATTTTTTTGCTATTGATTAAGATAAGTCTACAAATCAGTATGGTAGATTTTCAGATTTTTACTAATATTTTTTTTTTTTTTTATTAGTAGTGGATTTTTATTACTTATTAGCTAAGGTATGTTACAAATCATGACTCTTTTAGTGATGTTTTTTCAGGTTTTTACTAATTTTATTCTTTCTTTAATAGAAGTGGATTTTTTTTCTTATCAAATATAACAAATAATTAAATTTAATAAATTTGTAATAATCAAAAGCTTATTATTTATAAATGTACTTTTCTTATAATTAAAGTATTATATTAATATAAATTATATTAATAAAAAAATTCTTTTTATTGTAATTAATTGGGATTGCTTACTTGTATAAAATAAACAATTATAAAATTACTTGTATTATAAAAATTTAATAAAATGTTACCAATTAAAATATGCTATTTATATAATAGGTAACAATAAAATATCCTCATTAATGACTTAGGGATAACCCGATTGAAAACTGGATGTTAATAAATTGATATCAATAAGAATAACCCTATTGATATCTTTATAATATCCTAATCTGACAATCCAGATTTGACCTGATTGGTCTTCTATTTGTTATCATTCGACTAGCGATAGTTATACACAGTGAAATTCAATGTAACAGAACCGTTTGTTCTAGCAAAAATATCTGGTATATCAAGTGGTTCAATATAGCAAAAATTTTTCAATATACCGGAATTTATATAAAATCACATAAAGATCTATTATATCGAATTTTTATTTTTACGCGAAAAAAAATTTCTTAATTCTTATTTATTTTTGAAAAAAATTTTACAACTAATAAAAAAAGTCATCTAATCTACTTTGCCTCTGCTTTTTCTTATTATCAGAAATAATTTTTTTTTCAAATCAAATAAACTTTGCATATCTAAATGATTAATACCTAAATCATTTTGTTGAACATACTTAATTGATTTTTCAATGCTATTTAATGCATCTGATGAGGTTATAATTTTATCTTCTTTTACCTTAACCTCTTCCGCTACAGCTTGACCTCTAACAATTTTAACAATTTCTTCTAATAATAATTCTTCTTCAACAATTAATTCATCGTCAATATTAATATATTCTTCCATGTTTAACGGATCTGTAATTGGTAATTCATTAATTAATAATTGTAATTCTTTAATATTATCTTCTTCAATATCGTCATCATTATCAGAAATATTAAAATTATTATCATTAGAAAGAATTTCAGCTTTAGCCCAACTATCAATGATTGTTTTTTTAGTTACTTTTTTCTAAGCTTTAGCAATTAAATTAATAGAGTCAAGATATCAATTGACGGTAGAATTGGATCATTTTCTTCATAGAACTCGTAAACCTAAATACAATTTTGACATAATAATTTGTGATATTGTGCTTTTAAACTGTAAATTATGCTTTGATCTAGTGGTTGAAGATGTGAGATTGTATTTGGTGGTAAAAAATGAACTTTAACATTTGATAAATTATTAATATTTTCACAATTATGACATTTAGCATTATCTATTAATAATGATGCCTTTCCCTAACCATTTTTGAATTTAATCTTTCAAGAAAATGCTTAAAAATACTTCTTTACATCCAGGCTTTTGAATTCCAATAGTATCAGACAGGAAGAGATTTTTTTTCAATTCCTTTTAATAAATAAAAAGCAAAGGTAATTTTTCATTACCAGATGTATTGCATATTGCTAATATGCTAACGCGTTCTTTTAGACATTTTTTACCAAGCACTGGAGAATATGCTATTGTTTTACATGGTTCAAAGTGCCAAAAAGAGCAATTTCAAATATCTCTTAATTCATATTCTTGAAGAACTTCTTGCAATTCAACTCTCATTTGTGAAATTTCATTAATTGAAGTACTACCAGCTTCTCCGCTTATTTTAACTGTATGTAAGTTGTTTCTATGTTTAAAATTATTCAACCATCCTCCTGATGCTAAAAAACTATTAATATTAAATAATATAGCAAATTCTTTTGCTTTTTCTTGAATAATAGGTCCGCTAAGAATTAAATTTCTTGAAATTTGCTGATTAACCCAGATACTAACAGCCTCTCCTATTTGTGGAAAATTACTTAGTTTTTCATGAAAATTATTTTCATTTAGTAAAGTAGTGTTAATAGAAAGCTAATGCTCAGATTTTTTTAAAATATCAGAAACTGCACTGTCAGAAATTCCATATTCCTTTGCTAATTGCACACTATTAAATTTTAGATCTCGATGTTTTTCACAAAGTTCTTTTTTTTGAGCAAATATTAAAAATTTTTTTTTTTTTTTAGTATCTAAATCCTTTCTGTTAACTTTTCACATTTTTATTTTAAATAAAGAAATTGAAAAGCAAAAGGATGTACGAAAAAATTAAAAATCTATCAGTATTACTAAAAAAAAGAGATTATTAGAGTCACGTGAATTAATTTTATTGGCTCATTATTGTAGATCATCATATGTTCTAGTATATTAAATCATTTTTACTATAACCAATATGGATCTTGTTCTGTTATAGTGATTATCAAGATTTTACTAATAAATTCTGTTACATCAAATCTATTTTAGTATATGTGATTTGATTCCAATAAAAAGTTTCGTTATAAGGCTAGTTCCAGTTTATCGAGGTTCTGTTACATCGAATTTTACTGTATATAATTAATTTGATATATCATTGTTATCTAAATAAAGTTTTAATCATATATAATCATATATCTGAATTAAGATGAAGTCAGATGTTTCATTGCTAATTGAAAAAACATTTTATTAATGTTTCTTTTATTTTGTAGATTAAACTTTTGAAATGATTCCTTAGAAGATAATTATGATTCCTTTACTAATTACAAGAAACATTTATTAATGATTTTTTTTTATGTAAACTGAAACTTTATATTTATAAATATTTTTTTTATTTTTATTTAATCTAATAAAATTTGATTAATATCTTTATCAAAATTATAAATTATATATATTTATGTATTTAATAATTATTGAGCATATATAACAGATTAATTTTATATTAGTAAATTAATTGTAAACTTGTGAATTAATTGTGAATTTGTGGATATTGTGAAATTATTATTTTAAAATTCATAATAGTTGCAACCTAAAATCTGAAACTTAATCTGCAACTTATAAATTGCGGAGTCATCTTTAATCAGAATAGTTAAATATTTTGCTATATAGGTTTTGCCTAATTTTTCCATTTTTTCCATTTTGAGTTTTGTCTATTTTGCTTATTTTTATCATTTTAAATTATAACTTATATTTAGGTTTTATCTTTATGTCTTAGTAATAAATAATTTTAAAAATAGTTTTGCCATATTTTTGGACAAATTCCTTTAGTATTTATTATCTGCATCTCTAGATAAGAGGATGAGTTTGTGATGAAGAAGTTTCTATTTCTTTACCAAATATTTTTGAGTCAGAGAGTTCACATTGTAAATATAAATTATACAAGCATTTTTTAATAATTGACAAACCTGAATATAATTTGGTTTTAGGAGATGTGTGGCTAATGCATATAGGGCATGACATTGATAAATATCAAAACCTATATAAAGCACCTTATAGCTTATTATATTTTAATAGACCTAAAGAGATTAAAATCAAAAAAGGAAAAAAAGACAATATTGTTGAAGAAAAAATCTTTACTTTTTTCATTGCATACATTCTATGAATTATTATTTTCTGATTTTACTATAATTGATCCAGATAAAGAAGTTATATTAACTAAGTTTTCTAATCATAATCGTGAGTTTAATGGTTTAAATAAACATTATGATCTGGATTATGCTAAGTGGATTGCCCTAAGACATTTTAATATATTAATATATTAAAATATCTTAGGACAATCCACTTATACTAAACTAATATATCCTAAGACATTGTAATCTATTAATTAATATATCCTAAATATGGGGCCTACTTTTCATCTCTGTGACTTATTGGTTAGTAAATATGGATAAGATATATGCCTATTTGATTGCCTTTCAAAATACTGAAGTGGTGTAAAAAAAAGGTAACGGGTGCAGTGTATTTGTGATTAATTTTAGCTGGCTTTATGCTATAATTCTGGTTGATCTTTTGGACATATAATTTTAGGTTTCAGCTTGGCAACATGATGGCGTTATGATAGTGTCATGAAACTATCATAGAACTGTTAAGGAACTGGTAGGGAACTGGTAGGATGCCTAAGAGGTTTCATTTATTCATCAGTTTCAGTTTACTTATATGCTAGCTTGGATGCCAAGTTATTACGTCTAAAGTTCCAGTAGAAATTATGAAATAGTGTTTGCTGACATTAAGTGAATAAGTCTTATGTGAAGACTATACCGTAGTCGAATACATATCTACTTGTCTTCTTCCAATTTTTTATATAATATATCTAAAGAAGACTATACTATACTGAGTATATATCTAAGAAAAATGAAGACTTCTGCCATTTTTATATAATATAATTCTGCAGAAAGCTTCATTTTCAGATACATATCTGTTTTCCTTTATTTACAATTTGCTTACTAAATTACTATACATCTCTTTTACATCTCTTTTTGGTATACCTCTATATTTTGCGAAGGCTAATACCATATCCAGGTATATATTAGTGTTAGGATATTCTTCTTCTAATATTTTATATAATGAATACGGAGAAGAATATCCTAGATTATACCTATCAAGAATGCATTTATTTTTGGTCCTTTGCCAACTATGCTATACACCTCTTTTTGTGAGCTATTCTTCCTGTCCGTAGTGAAATTTTTCAGAGGGGACTTTAAAGGAGACAGGTTTGTTATCTTTCTTGAGATTATTAGGCTATTTTATTTCTTTCTTGATTAGTGTCCCTACTGTCTATAATAAAAAGTAGTAATTTCTAGAAAAAATCGTAATTTTCCTATGATATATATATAATATATGTGTATACCTATAGGTAAAAAAAATAAAAAAGATAAGAGTTTCAATTTTTACTAGGATGAGTAAGATTAGGGAAACGCATATTCTAAAAGGCTTCACAGAAATCTAAAAGTGCTAAAACTGATAACATAGTTGTTCTTTCTGCTCGTTTTCAGAAAATTTTCATTACGAACAATAGGGTAACTTTCTAAGGCCAACACTCTATTGCATCGGGTATTTTTATTCTATTGAGAGCCTATCTCATTGCCTCTGAGGTCTGATAATTCTGAAACATCTTATCCAACTTTTTCTGATGATAATATGTGTTTGTGTGGTATTTTTTTACATGCCAATCACAAAATTCATATTCAGAAGCCATTGGTCTTTCACATCCATTTTATTTGCATAGAGGTCACTGATGTCTTTTCCAGTAAATACAACATCCTTCTGGTTTTCTACTTCCCTACCCACAAACCTTCTCTTCATTAGAACGATACTGGCAAATGTATTTACCACCTATTGATATTATTCTTAGATAAATAACACTTTAATATCTATAATTATTTATTTTTATTTTAAACTTTTTACTAGGGTATTATACTAAAACAGTATACTAGATATCATAACTAAAAATTTTTACTATGACACAATCTGAGCTTTCAGAGTTCCTCTCTGACGCCCCACCCTTTTTCAACTAGAGGCTGAAAAAGATAAAAAGAAGACCAACTGATTCACTATTCTGATGAAAAAAACTTGTCAGACATCTAAATACTGGATGATATAGTTGCAGAAAATGATGAGGAATTATCTTCAATTCTCGAAGATGCTTTATCTAAACGACAAAATATTCCATTTATGGCTATTGAGAATGAAGGATCAACAGAAAAGATAAATAGAATGTATCGTTATATATTACATCTTTATAGTTGCCTTATTAATGACCAAAAGGCACTGGTAACTCTTAAAAACATTTGAATATTCTTTGACATTCTTGTACCGGATGGCGAATCTCCTGATGAATGTAAAGCAAAAATAAGAATATTTTATCTGGTAGTGTGAAGACATTTTCAGTAAAGCATATTAAGGCATTTCCTTTTCGTGGCTATCATATAGAAAAAAAGTCATATTTGCGAATTTATATAAATAGTACTGACAGTAGAAAAACTGCTATTAAATAATAACTTCAAAACTGTATCAGATGATTTATACTCATTTTATCATAAGATAGCCTGAGAAAACAGTATTTAACTTTCTGGATGGTCTACAATAAACAAATATATTAACAAGCAAGGCAAAGGGACCAGTCTACTCCATTAATATGAATTCTATGTATCTATAAAAGATTTCTATCCGCTAGAAAATTTTATAACAATAAGCCTATTTCAGCTCACTTACGAGATCATATTCTTATCTTTATGTGGGATATAGAGACCCAATCACGAGAGTTAGATGAATTTGCCAAAGTCCTTGATATAAATCACAATGTCTTATGATCAGCATAATATTGTATTGGAAAGATGATCCAAAACTGTGTCGATGTTAAGACAGAACCAGATCCGGAATGCATCACAATCATATGTGAAAACCAAGAAAATCTGCTAAAAGCATTCACTCTCTACTGGAGAGTATTTGCTCCTGACATCCAAGTTGGATTTAATGATTCAGACTATAATTAGCGTTTCATTATAGAAAGAGCCTATCACCTTAACATACTCGAATGCAGTGTTGTACATTTTTTATGTCCAAAGCATTTTAAGAATGTCAAACACTATGTTCAATACTGTCCAACACTATGTCCAAAATATTGTCCAAGAATGTTCTGTGACAACACTGCTCGAATGGATGTGGAAGCGAAGTATAGGAAAGTTTGAAATAAAGGAAGAAATTATAAAATGGAAATATCGTAGAAAGATAGAAGTGAAATCTGAAAATGATTTTATAAAAAAGTATCCTATTAAGGCTCTCGAAGAAGGTGAAGAGGATCTGGAGGAGAAAGAATATATGGGTGGTCCAATTAAGATCAAAATTAGTGCAGAAGATGATTTTACTTCTAGCTTCCTTAAACTGCCAGGTTGTGTATCAATTGACATTTGAGTGTGTCTCAAAAAACGTTTCCCTCATTCTGAAGTTGAAAAGAAAGGTTCATTTAAATTTTTCTTACAAAAGTATGGGTTTGACAGTAAGGCCGACATGCCATATGATAAAATGTGAAAAATCTATTCAGAGGTGAAAAAAAAACCCTCCTCAACAATCACAAGAAATATGCGTGAAGTAGTACATTACTGTATTATAGATGCATTGCACTGTCAAGAGCTTTTGGTGAACCAAAGTATAATAAATGATTATAGAGAAGTTGCCTCTATAGCTTATGTTTCTCCTTTCGATACACACTATTGCATAAATGAAATGAAGGTACAGAACCTTCTCAGAACATATGCTATCAAACGAGATATAATAATAAGTACAAGGATTTCTGAAAATATAGAAAAAGGAAAATATCCTGATGTGTACGTATTTTCACCTAAAAAAGGGATTGAAAGTATAAGACCTGTAACAGGATTGGATTTTGCTTCATTATATTCCAGTATTATCATGTTATATAACCTCTCCCCAGAAAAATTTATATTTGATCAAAGGATGTCGATATTATGCAAAATAATGGAAATAACTTGTATAAGATTGAGTTTTCTTTTAATAATCATATCATCCAAGCTTGATGCATCTACCATGATAACCAACCAGAAAAGAAAGGCCTATATCTGACCGTATTGAAGGATTTATTTAACAAAAGGTTAGATCTTAAAGTATATCTAGCCTTACTAGGAAAGAAAAAGTAACATATTGGGAAGATGATAAGTTCAGCTAAAGAAAGAGGCAAAAAAATTTCGGAAAGCTTAAATTTAGAATACTCAACCATATGCTTTGATTACGATTATTGGAATTCGAAACAAAAAGCTTTGAAGATATACATGAATACTTTTATAGGAAAGCTGGAAACTTACTATCTCCTATCTTTCTTCGTAAATTAGCCTATGGAACTACTATAGCGAGAAATATAATTTTAACCTTTTTGCCGAATTCGTATCAAAGAAAGGGTTTGGGATAAAATATAGAGATACCGATTCTTTGTATCTTACCTGCTCAGATAGATATTACGAAAAATTCGATGAAGCCTTCTCCAGAGAAGAACTTTCAAAGAAGCGTACTGAACTGAAATGGTTAAAATTACTATGAATGTGATGAGAAAGTTGCGCAATCAAGTAAATGCTTATCTTAGAATAAAAGTAAGACGTCTTATCTAAAGATGACATATGAAGAGGTATTATTTTCCGTCTACTTTACTGGTAAAAAGAAATACTTTAGGGTTAGGCATAAAAATATTGTAAACTTTAAGATGAAAAAACTTTTCATGAAAGGGATAGATACCATCTAGCAAGGTAAATCCCAGCTTTTCAAATTCATCAAAGAGAGATAATAAGAGAGGCTATGAATATAAATAATACGTGTCCAATTCACAAAATTGTTAAAGATACTCTTAGAGAAATAGGAAACAAGAAATAGGATTTCAATGAATTTATTGTGATGGGAACATAGAGGCTTAAGAAAGAAAATCTCTGCAATAATCGTTTTATGAAACGTATAAGAGAGAGAAATGAAAGGATTCCTGATTCTGGTGAACAGTTTAGCTATGTCATTGTGAAGGGCCCCTGTCTTCGTAATGAGAAAGGCAGGTTAATACCATAAAATTTGGGGATTATATGAAGTATCCATCAAACATAGCAAAAGAGCAAAACATAGAAATAGATATCAATTATTATTTAGGCACTATAGTTGTAATATGTGCACACTTTATCAATGATAACGATAGCTATCAATCACCCTATCACATAAAATAATGCAGATCAAGGATCCAGATGTGAGAGAAAAGAAGATTGATAAATACTCCTAAGACGAGGTCGTAAGACAGCTTAAAAAATATATAAAAGCTTTACAATAAACTTTCTAAGTACTCTTAGCAGGATGTGGCAATTTCAGCTAAGAAACTTAGTCTCAAAGAAACGCTTTGCATAATATTATTTATATATTTTTTCTCATACAGTAATACCAGCTAACTTCAATTTCTATTTTTGAACTTCCAGTCTAGGATGATCACTCCAAACTTTTGGCCTCTGATAGAGCTCCTAATGAGTCGAGTTGAGTTGGGTTTTAAAGATAACTCGACTCAACTCAAAAAATTTAAGTCAAGTCAAATCAAGTCAAAAAATTTTAAAACTCTAACTCGACTCGACTCGAGTTATACTAAAATTTGACTCAACTCAACTCGAGTTAAATAAAAACCCCCAAAATATATTTGCTGATTATATAAATAATAAAATAATATTAGTGTTTCGGAGGCTATTATCTAATGATCTACTGATTAGAATTTCATGAAATCTGCACCATTGTGTTCGCCGAGATGCGCTCATCAAAACGATATGTGTTGCATTTCTAATGGATCACTGAACGCAGAGATATTCAAGA